AATATAAAAACTATTTTCATGAAGATTTTTGTATCACGAACAAGTAGATATGTCGCACAAGTCTTCAAGTGCTATAGTAAGGATGATATTGGAAGTGGCGTTTTGCCGTATTTCGGCAGATTTTAATGACTGTAAGGAGGAGCCTTAAAGCCGATATTGGCCTGAGTGTGCTTTGGTCTGTAGATCAAACAAGTTCTCAGGCGACGAAAAATTGCATGTGGAGGGAGACTTCGGATTACAAATCGTGCCAAGAAAGACATATTTGGGAGAGATGGATTTTCAGGTACTTGACTAGCGGTAATTTTTTAAATTGTTTGCTGTCGTTCGCGAAGTGAAGAACACAATTTCATTAAAATGATAATTATAAAATTATCATAATCACTATTGGTGTTAATTAACACAAAATGGCGCGCAAGTTATCAGTTGATTTCGTTAATAAATTCATAGAAACCTATATGGGATTTTTTCATGCCTTAAAAAATTAAAATTTAAAAAATACAATAACAAAAATTTTAAAATGCGGTTTAGGAAAAATTAGTTGACCTATGCAAAGAAGAAAATTTTGGAAACGCTGACAAATATGACATCTTAAAAAAAACAACACTTGAAGAAGTGCTTTCGGCGTAATATTTTTGATGCTTGCGTGAACAAAATACTCTATGTCAGTGTGCAGTGCGCAAAGAGTTAACTGTGCAGATCTAGCCGAAAATCCGAAAACCAAATCGCTGTGTGTAGGGCCAGCATAACAGAAGTAATAAATCATCCCATCGGTTGAAGAACGTTGGGTCGGTGCACTGATGTCGGTGTTATATCCCGAGAGGGACCCAATACACCCAATATAATGGAACAGACAAAATAAAGCTTCAAACATGATTATTTTTATACTAAAATTCTGAAGTTTATAAACTGCACATTTTATTTATTTATTTATTTATTTATTTATTTATTTATTTATTTATTTATTTATTTATTTATTTATTTATTTATTTATTTATTTATTTATTTATTTATTTATTTATTTATTTATTTATTTATCTATTTATTTTATCTTGTTTTCGAACTATAATAAACATTTCAAACAATGTCTGTAACTTATTTTAATGTAAATTATATTCATGTGGTTAACAAAATCAGATGTAATATTAGTGTGATTTTGACCTTATTCTAGATTTTATTACAGCAGAACGGCGTATCCTTTTTAAATTTTAGAAGTTACGGAAACTAGTTCAAGAAACAATTAGTTATCTTGTATTTTTGGAACAAAATCAAAATTGTTTTTCATAGAAACAAACAGTCTTCAAAGCAGCCTTTACCAACTCGATCTTACAAACATGCCTCTTAAGTTCTTTATGCGTTTTTTTCTCTATTGTAATTATTTGTAATGTTAACGCCGAAAGTTTATGCCATTCTGTTATTTATTTTGAACATGTATTTTCATTTTGTGTTAATATTTTTGTAACACCACGAATCTAAATTTTACTTAAAATCTTGTAAAACTAAACGATTATACCAGTTTAAAAACCCTTGGAAAGTTTCTGTCAGTCTTCAGATATAGTCAAATAAAAATAGGCGTCAAATTAATTTAAATTCAATTCTTTCGTATCACGTTACAACGCGTTGCTTCATATTTTTTATGTCAAGTGTATTTTCATATTTTGTACATATATGTTTATACAGATTACTGTTTACGGAACAATGTTAATTATGGATTTATGGATAACTCCTCGTATAAGAGCAGAGTGAATGATGTTTACCTTTGCTAATGTTTGATGGCGCCATCTGATTTAGAGTAAAATAAACCTAATACGTTGGCTCACTGTAGTGAAAATGCGCGTTGACGAAAAATTTGTCCCACGCCCCCTGGATTCCTTGTCCTAAAGCTCACTATTTAGGCGAAGTAAAATTTGTATTAGGTTGTCCAACTATAATATACTTAAACAATGATATTACACACCGGCGCCGTATACGTGAGTAAATTGTTTCGTTATTTTATTGATTATAAGAAATCAATATTCAAAACGACCCAATTCATTTTCCCGAAAATTTGGGAATACAATAATTTTATTCTTAGTATTACACTACATCTATCCCAACTGATATACGTGTCCTTGCAAAAATTTTGATGACGTCATCACAATTTTTTTTTTAAATTCCCACTACAAAAATGTAATGAGAAAAAAAAACACAATAGGCATGCAGTCGTCAAGTTTCCGACAGCGAGGGAAGTACTGTCTAAACTCTTTAGACCAATTTTTAAGGTGGCGTTAACTGTTGTCACAAGGATTAATGGTTACATTTGCCAGTAGAAGACATTCAAGACTTCAACATCAAATTACTCATCACAATAAATAATACAAAAACAAAAACTAACAATCTGTTCAGTGTTGTAGGTAATGAGGGTATGCCAAATTACCTACAGTTATAGAGGAAGTATTTTGGGCTTGGTCCTAGACACATCCCACATAATAAGTTTTTCATTTATTAATGTAAAAATAAATCTTCAACTCAGCCAGTAGGGATAAACACTCTTGGAAAAGTTCCATATAAAATTGCGATGTAATACTTCAGAATTTCAACTGCCAATAGAAAACATTTGTAGCAATAAGGACAAAATTACAAAATCAATACCTACTAAATGTTTCTTCTTGAGTGAGATGTCTGCCACTAATCAGTTACTAATATAATCGTAAATATTGTTAAATCTAATAATGACAAATAAAAATTTGAAAAATTATTACAGAGTTTCATTTATTTAATCAAGTCCATATAAAAATTTGAACTTTGAATGTTTCGACGATCGTCGGAAAAATTGTGTAACAAACATGTTGGTTAATGGCAATTAACGAACTCGTTGGTGAAACATTTCAAAAATGTCGCAACCAGTGGCATCCGTTATCTTCAAATTTGCGTATTTTAGTCATAAAACTCGAAAATTCTTCTATAATTATAAAAATAAATTAGTTCATGTTATCACCAAGAGTACATTTTTTTTTTTTAAATTGACGATAGAGTAGTTGTGTATCACGAAATGTTGTGGATATTATATGGAAACAAAGAAATTTTGTAAAACTGTTGAACTTTTGATAGGAATCACAAGTGCAATCCTTTAGAAAAAATGTATCCAAATTTTCTGTTAACAAACTCTTTAATGGGGCACAATTCTTGTTCTTTATAGATATATATCATAATCGACTGTCTTGCATGAAATGAAGATTAACGATTAACAGACTTTTCCCCAACAACCACATACCACATGAGTTTCGATACTTTGGATGCATCCTCAGCGTAAATATTTTCCTTACTTGTTATCCAGGATTCTATAATTTGGGACATGTTATTAATTTTATTCGTTTTAGATATGTATATTAAAATTACTTTGTACTTATTAGATAATGAATCTTAACTAAAATTTTTTTAACTGTCTTCTACTATCTACAAAAATTGATGAGATCACTTCAAAATTCTTTGAAATGAAATGTACCTATGACACATCTAAAAATGCAATTAAGTTTTTAAGTTTAAATTCAGTTTTGCGATTTGAGTTTTTGGAGTTTTCAATTTTTAATTTTTCAAATTTTCCATTTGTAATTTTTTGTTTCCATTTTTTATTTTCTTTACTTTTTCAATTTTTGGTTTTTCAATGTTCGAAGTTTTTTTTCAAAGAGAAATTTTTCAATTTTTCAATTTTAGGTTTTTCTATACCTACATATTTCTTTTCTTCAAGTTTTTATTTGCAATTTTCTAGTTTTCATTTTAAATATGTAATAATAATTATAATTAAAAAAAATCACTTTTTCAATTTTACTGTTTTAGAATTTCTTCCATTTACTCGATTTTTAAATTTTTCGATTCCTAAATTTTCGATTTCTCGATATTTAATTTTTTCATTTTTTCATGTTTTAATGTTACCGTTTTTCGACTTTACAATTTTGACGATCCTATGATTGATTGGACCATTTTTGGATTTTGCTATTTTTATCTATCGTTTTTTCCTCTTTCCAATTTTTCAATTCACTAATTTTTTCGATTTTTCAGTTTCTTAATTTTTAGTTTTTCAATGTTTCACTTTTTTTCGTTTTTTCAGTACTTCGATTTCCAATTTTTCGATTTTTCATTTTTTCGATTCTGCTTTTTTTCATTCTTTCAATTTTTTGAGAGTTTTTAGTTTTTCGTTTTTTAATTTTTCGAATTTCCAGTTTTTCGGTTTTTCAATTTTGTGCTCAAAAAAATGGAAAATTAAACATGAGAAAACGAAAAAATATAAAATAAATCTTTGAAAAATCTAAAAATGTATATAATATACATGTATATGATTAATAATAACTTCCGGTAGCCATGTCGAATTTCGATGTAAAAATATAAAGTAAATAATTGTCGTAGGATTGCCGTTTCAATTATTTCATTCTTATTAACTTCACTATTCGTAAGGTGTTTAAATAAACACTTAAATGACAGTCGATATTTCCAAATAAAACTAATCTTACCTATATGTCTCACAAAATATAACGGATGATAAAAAAATTTTCATATTAGAGTTAGCCATGGAAATATTTCTCATGTCTTTGATCAAACTGCAAATGTCATGTATAACCTCATTTGTAATTTAAAAATTCCATTTTTTGACAAATCCGTTTTGAATCAAGTAGATTTGAAGTTGAATCGAAGTTTGTGCAATTGCTACTTGTGCCTTTGAAGATAATTTTCAACAACAAGAGGACTTTTTTCAAATCCGCATATCTTAGTTCTAGAAATCCAGAATTCTTATATCATTAAATTTTTCCTCAACAAGATATTCATGCAGATGGAGAACTATAAATATACCATCTAACAAATGTAGATACTTTTTTGTGGTTTAAAAATGATTCTATCAACATGTAAATTTGTAGAGGAATGAACCCTCTATACAATATTGTAAGATAAAATACACACTATTTTAAATACAACAAAATTTATTCTCAAAAGTATACTAACATCAATACGAAATACATATTTATCATCAAAATTCATTTTTTTTTTCACACTTTCATGGAATCCCAAAATTTCTACTTGTTCAGTTTTTCAAATGGCGATTTCCATTCACTCTCAGTTTATCCAGCCTGTCGAACTGATCCTGGTATGGACAATTTTTTGTATTCATTGTACCTAAAATTATGTGTGGAATTTTTACAACGACAGGAAAAAACAATTCTTCCAAAGAGAGCCCTTGGCCCTGTTAACCCTGTTTGGACGAAACTCCACTGTACTAATAATATTGGGTTTCAGTACATATTTTACATTGGACCCAAAAGTGAAATATACTTTGGATCTTCATTGAATGTTTTTTTTTTTTACTTAAAAGATATACGCTTTTTGTAAGAAGTTTGTATCAGTTATTTTGGGTTCACCTTGTAAACCTACATAAATTTGAGAATTAATTAGGTGATGATTTTTCAGTTGTCGCCAAGAGTCCAAATTTTTCTAAATTGACTATAGAACAGTCGTGTATTGAGAAATCTTCTGGATATTATTGAAACAAAGAAATGTTGACAATTTGTCAACAAAAAAAAACTCTTTTTGCAGTACGCGTTGACGGAGGTACCAATTTATGGGCTAATGTCATCTTCAGGATCAACCAGTACGCCTACAATATCCACAGTGGTGTGAACAATACCCTTAAATCGAACACCGTTAATATCTTAATTACAGAACCTTCTTCTTCAAGCGTACCGCAGGTGACACCCCATATAAATTAATCCCAGAACGTACCATCAGTAACAACATTTCTACCAAAATTAACGGTGGAGGAAAGTTGGGGACTCACTAAAGATATAGAGATTTTAGTCCTGAAAGGAGAGAAAAGAGGATAATGGATATCCGTGGTTGGCTGCTATGTTCCACAGACAAGGGGTATCCTACACCTTCCAGTGAATCTCCAATTTGATAACGAATAGGCGCATCAATATCGGTAACTACTGAAAAATCAAAAAAAAAAAAAAATTAATAGAACGAGTTTGTGCTCAAAATTTATACTAAAACGCCATTTCTTCATTTTTCCCAGCTGCCCACTCATCGCCAAAGAGGACATCCTCCTGGTATGGGCCGCTCCGACCTCACCCATTGGGCTACCACAGGCGCCTTGATCCGAACAGCCCTTAAGGTTACCCCTCACCCCAACTACAAACAAGGTTCCGGCCACTGCGACGCCGCCCTCATCAAGTTGAACGAAGAGGTGTCCCTCAAGATCACAGTCAGACCCATCTTCCTCTGGACAGGAGACACCAACCTTAAACGCAGTACCCGCTCGAAAGGGGTTGTCGCTGTATGGGATAAAAGTGAGGAGGTCCAGAACGTGATGGGAGTACCCAGAAAGGTGGACATGCCTGTGGTGTCCCAAGAGATCTGCCTGAGGTCGCATGCTGATTTCAAGAATCTGACGTCGGAGATGACGTTCTGCGCAGGGAATAAAGACGGGAGTGGACCTTGTAGTGGGGATAGTGGGGCGGGGTTTATTGTTAAGAAGGGGGAGAGGTGGTACTTGAGGGGGTTGGTGTCGACGGTTATTAAGAATGAGGATTATTCGTGTAATTTGGATAAGTTTATTGTTTTTGCGGATATAGCTAAGTTGGAGGATTGGATTAAGGTGGTTACGAAGTAGGGGGCGAATAATTTTTTTTTTTTGTAATGAGGGTGTATATTATTTTATGGGGGTGGTTGAGTATAAGAGACACTCAAGTTTTAAAAAACGTTGTAAATATTAAAAATGGATAAGGTTACACTTTACAATACTAAAAGATATATACATATATGGACAAGTGTTCGATTTAAAGTTTACATATAAAAATTATTATAATTATGTTTATACAACGTATGAACAACAAAATTTTAGATAAAGAAACAAATTAAACTAAGATATCTTAATCACAGCCTCTCGTTATCTTACAAACGCTTTATTTATCAGTCTACGAGTACAATGCTTAGGTTTTCAGAAATTACATTCGAAAGACAAGTCCCAAAATGTATATGTCGAAATATATGGACATTCCTTTACAAGCAATTTGAAATGAAACTGCAAGTAAATAAATTGATGGCAAAAAGTAGGAATCTATTTCGGTATAAATTAAAGATTTAAAGAATGTATAATATTTCATTGAGAAATCGTTTTGAACGTGGTCGCACATTATTATTTAAAAAACAATTACTAATTACGTAAGTTGAAACAATGAACAATATCATTGATAAATAATAGCAATAAGGTTGGACCTAAGTGATTCCCTTGGGGAGCACCAGATGTTATCTGGATTTCTTTTGACAGAAAGCCCTTAAGGTTTGGCCCAATTCAACGACTTATATTAAAACTAAAATGGCTTGGTGTCTCAGGTAATCTGTTGGTTTGGATTAAATCCTTTCTGTCTGAGCGATTGTTTAGAGTAAAAGTTGGTGAGGTAGTGAGTGGTCACAAGCAGGTAATAAGTGGTGTTCCGCAGGGTTCTGTATTGGGACCCCTCCTGTTTCTTGTATACACAGCCGACTTAAGAAAGCATATTCGGTCACCATGTGCGTTTTATGCTGATGATTTTAAAATCTATAACTCGTCCTGTAAACTAAATGTAATTGCGACGGATATATTAGCTGTGACGGAGTGGAGTAAAAAATGGCTCATTCCTTTGAATATTAGCAAATGTGTTGTCTTGCACATTGGCCCCCATAATCCCAGAGCTGACTACTTCATATATGGTGTTCCACTGACTAAAGTAGATGCACAGAACGACTTAGGAGTAACAATTACCACCGATTTAACGTGGTCACAACATATCGCTAAAATAGTAAGTAAAGCCAACAAAATGGTATATCTATTAAGACGTACGTTTAAAAATCCTGACCATGACACAGTTGCAAAACTACACAAAACATATGTAAGGCCAATCCTGGAGTATTCTAATTTAGTGTGGTATCCAATTTTAGTTAGGGATAGTGATCTGTTAGAAGGCGTTCAGAGGCGTATGACTCGATTACCTTATGGCATTTTGCGACCATCGTATGAACAGAGACTCGTAATCATGAAATGCCCTGCATTGGGTCAAAGAAGAACAAGAGGAGACGCCATTGCAACATTTATTGCACTCATATTAAATGTTCCTCCGACGAACAGCATGTTTACTTTGAATTCTGATGTGCGTACTAGAGGTCATCAGTTTAAGCTCCTGAAAGAAGCGTTTCGCACCAGAACCCGACAGTTTTTCTTCTCGAACCGTATTTTCGACACATGGAACTCTCTCCCTTTACAAGTAGTGTGCAGCCCAAGTGTACTTAGTTTCAAGAAAAATTTTGATCATTTTATGAATATGTAAACTATTTGAATTGTAATATTTGTATTTGTTGAATTTAATAAAGTTAAGAACTATTGTTGCTCACGCGGGCATAACAGAGTGTGAGCTCTCTGCTCGAGCGTGCAATAATAATAATAATAATAATAATAACTTCTAAAAACGTCCTTTGAACTCGCCTAATGGTTAGTATTAAAATTAATTTAATTATCTCGTTTAACGTAAATAAGTAATTAACAAAAATAATATTATATCTGAGTCTCAGATGGATAGAAAGAGCAATTAAGGAGCGATATTAGGTCTAATCAAATAAAATTTAAGGCGGAAATCGAAACCATGTAAGTTAATAGGTTATGTTATTGATTGCTGTTGATTAGTTAATGTTATCTTTAAGGCCCATGAAAACTGGAATTATCTCAAGATACTTCGGAAATTAGATCTAAGAGTATTTATCACCAAATTTGAAGCCATCCATTGCCCAAGAGAAGGGTTCAGACATATAAAATTTTAGAAATATTTACAAAACAAGAAAAAATCTTTATATTGAAGGGGTTTTACCCCTCTTGAATTCATTAATGTATCTGTAGATTTGTATGATTCTCTAATAAATGAATATGACATTTGAAATATATTTAATAAATCTCAACTAATAAAAGCTTTAGGTCTCCTTTCGGAGAGGTATCCTCTTGCTCTCAAACTATTCAAACTGAAAACAGCTTCCATAAAATTTTAACTTTTTAAAAAGAGCGTTAAAAATAGGGGTAAAATGCTTTAAAAACAAAGTGTTCTGAAGGGGCATACATCCTGGGCTTAATAATTTTAATCGGACGAAGACTTTAATCCCATCTGTTCTAACGTCAGGAGAAATTGAGGTGATCAGTTCCTGGATGACAGTTAAATCATCATTGCGGGATTCTGGTAGTTGAAAAAAGATTAAATTGGGTTCACGGCGTTCACGATCCATTATTTCATTTATTATTTCACTGTCATCGAATCGGTTTGTTGCGTCATTGACAATATCAGAGCTATCAGAGGTTGCCTTTGTTAAGTTATCATTATCACTTACTAATTTTTATAAATTATTAACTTCTTCCTGAAGAGTAGAAATGATTGCAGTAAGGTCGTTTATTTTTAGAAAGTTGGCTTTCAGTGATGATCATTAAATACGCATTGCAATCAAAAATAATTTTACGATCTTTTTTTTCAAACATTTTAGTTCCATTATTCAAGCTTTAGATTATAGAGCCTTGAGGAGAACTCAGATTCGTAGCGCGTGCAATCGAAGCGCCTACCGTCTCGCTGACTCGAACTCAACATCAATGAGTTTTTAAAAAAAATTGTACATTTTAGAGCCGATATTTTAATTTTACATGCATAATCAACGATCATTGTCCCCTACGGGTCAAAAACGATTTAATTTTTCCCCTTTGAAAGGAATTTTTAAACTCGTACTTTTTGGGTAGCAGACCATTTCCATCCGGAACATCCACTTTCGCACCATTCGCTACCAGCAACTCTACTGTTTTTAAATGTATAATGAATGTATAATGAATCAGCAGTAGACCATCGTGAAATGGGCAGTCTACGTTAGCATCTTCTTTTATCAAAAAGGGCATAATACTGGGTCCATCAAAACGATTTTTACACGCGTAATGCATGGGTCGCCGACCATCACCATCTGGAATATCCACTACTGTGCCATTCGCTACCAGCAACATTACTTCATCTAAATCTAAATAATTGTGTTGATGTCGATAGTATCAATTTTATAACGCCCTATATCATATTTTTGATAAGCATGTCCCAATTTATCCAAATAAATACAATAAGATTCAGTTTCCGCCATGGTTCAATTCTATGATTATTAATAACATTAACTTAAAAGGTTATTATCATAATAAATATAAGCAAACTAATGATAGCTCCTATTACGTCAAATTTAAACATTATGGTACTATTACTAAAAATCAAATATCTCTAGCTTATAAAGAATATCTGAATTCCATTCAAAATAATCTATCCCAGGACCCAAAAAAATTCTGGTCGTACGTAAACTCAATGAAAGGTCAAACACGCATACCCGGAAAAATGACTTTTAATAACGTTTCTTTAAATTCTCCAGAAGACATCGTCAACGCATTTGCTACATTTTGTTAGTCGTCCTATGTTTGTTCTCAGAATTCAACAGATTTTCCAGTGCCTTCGTCTGATTATCTTTCTTTATCTATATCAGCATTACTCACAATGACATTTTAGTTGCTTTCAATAAAATCAAAAATTCTTTTACTGCTGGGCCTGACCAAATCCCAGGTTTTGTGATACACGATTGTAAAAATATTTTTGTTCAACCTTTATTAGCAATTTTTAATGTTACCCCTATTACTGGTACATTCCCAAAAAAGTGGAAGACCTCGAAAGTCACGCCAATCTTCAAATCAGGTAATAATGCTGAAATAGATAAATACCGTCCTATATCAATAATAAATAACTCTTCAAAAGTTTTTGAAGTTGTTCTGTATTCGTTTATTTATCCTCATGTCCGAAAATATATCTCTCCCCAGCAGCATGGATTTGTTGATGGGCGCTCAACGATAACCAATTTAGCTTGTTTTTCACAATTTCTGACAGAAGCTATTGATAATGGGTCCCAAGTAGACGTCATTTATACAGATTTTGCGAAAGCTTTTGATCGCCTTGATCACTTAATGTTATTATCTAAACTTCATTGTTAAAAGCCATGGTTATGAACAGATTCCAGTACGTGGAATATAATGGTTACAAATCGCGTGAATTTAGTTGTAATAGTGGAGTAGCGCAAGGGTCAAATCTAGGACCGCTTTTATTCATTATATTTTTTAACGACATTTCTGAATACATCAACTCCAAATTTTTTGTATACGCTGATGACTTGAAGCTCATTAAGTTTATAAACTCATCGTCTGACTGTTATGATTTGCAAGACAGCATTGACTCCTTTGTTAAATATTGCTCAATAAACTGTCTTGTCATTAATAAATCAAAATGTAAGATTATGTCGATAACCAGGAAAACAAACCTAATTAATTACAATATAAATGGTAATGTTTTGGAACGTTGTAATCAATTTAGGGATCTAGGTGTTATCATTGATACAAAATTATCATTTGTGCCGCACATTGAATATATTACAAATAGTGCTTTAAAATTGTTAGGTTTTATAATACGTAACAGTTCAGATTTTCGTAATATATTCTCCATAAGGTTATTGTTTAATAGCTTAGTTAGGACCAAACTTGAATATTGCAGTAGTATATGGAGTCCTGCACAACAAATGTATGTTACACTACTTGAAAACGTCTTACGCAAATATTGCAAATTTTTATTTTTTAAAATGTTCGGACAATATCCAGTTCTACATTGTAATCAAAATGTGCTTCTTAATTTAGTTAATGAAAGGTCTTTGGTGAGTAGAAGAAATGTGGCTAGTTTAGTGTTCATTCAAAAAATAGTTAATGGATCAATTAGGAGTGAATATTTACTTAATCAAATAAAAATAGTTGTCCCTAGGGCTGTAAGCAGATCGCCACTTACCTTCTTCTATAACATCCCAAACACTTTTCACCATTACAACTCGCCAATGTTAAATTCTTTCAAATTATGGAATTGTATTCAAAATAAAATTGACATTTTTCATGATGATTTGAGCAAACGTAAGGTTAAGGATCAATTACTTGACTACTATATGCAATGTTAATAGTATATTTTGTTTAGTTGTTATGAGGTTGGAAATTATGTTTATATTGTTTTTATTATTATTATTATTAGTTTTAATTATTTTTTCTATTCATTTTTTTTTTTGCCATTAGTTATCAATGTATGATTCTATCTCTATATGGACCTTGTGTCTGTTGGGAAAATAAAACCTATTATTATTATTATTATTATTATTCAGGTATATGGTCTCTGTGGCAATATTTTCAATTTACTTCGCTCATATTTATCAGACAGATCGCAATATGTTTTTTATAATGGTCACTCTTCTCATATCTACGATGTCACATCAGGAGTTCCACAAGGAGCTAATCTTGGTCCGCTACTTTTCATTTTATTTGTGAATGATTTGCCTACCATTTTCAAGAGTCAATCATTAATATACGCGGATGATGCTAAAATATATCACATTATTAGAACAACTGAGGATGCACACCAGCTTCAAAGTGATATGAATCAATTCAACAATTGGTGTTCCTTAAATAAAATTACGCTGAATGTCACTAAATGTAAAGTCATATCATTCACTCGTAAGAAAACATTACACAAATTTGATTATTCAGTCAATAACGAAATCATACCTCGATGTAATGTCATAAAAGATCTGGGAATCACATTTGATTCAGAACTTACATTTCAATGCCATATCAACAATATTGTTGCACGTTCGTTTTCTTTACTTGGGTTTATAATAAGGCAATGTAAAAACTTCAATAATTTAAATACTATTAAGATATTATTCGAGGCATATGTTATCTCATGTCTGATGTATGGTTGTCTTATTTGGAATCCATTATATCAATGCTACATAAATGTCATTGTCCATTCAAAGAAAATTCATGAAATACGTATGGTTTAGAAAATACGGTACTTATCCTGATAGAGGAATTGATAATGCTTTGCTGCTAAGTGAATTCAGCATGTTATCATTAGTTAGCAGTAGAGAAGTTGCCATTACTTTATTTTTCTTTAAATTAATTCATTCAAGGATTGATTGTGCCGAGTTATTGGGAAAAATTTGCTTTCATGTTCCACGCTTAAATTGCAGAAGTGATTTGCCTTTTTATGTGCCTTTAGCTCGTACAAATATTTTAATGAAATCGCCTTTAAATATAATGTGTTTCCTTTTTAATAAGAACTTTAAGGCTTTGGATATCTTTTCACACAGTTTCAAACAGTTCAAAACGAAGGTAATAGCTTTTTATTTTAATAGTAGTTAATTAAATAATTACACCTATTAGTTGTTGTTTCTACTAATTTGAATTTGTGTCAAATACTGTTTTTACTATTATTATTATTATTATTTTAAGTTGGTTTGTTTTTTTTTGTCACTCTCTAGAATAATATTAGGTTATTAGCTTATATTCATTCATTGCTCTGTAATTGGTTCGCTTGAAATGTTGGGCAATAAACTTAAGACCCACCACTGACCCGGAAATGACCGGCATTCAGGCAAGACTTCTATCATTACGGGTACTAAGACCAAGTAATGATATGCATTGATTAGATTAACAGAACAACTTTCGAGATTCTAGAATTACAGCATACAAATTAGTCTGCTATTATTCTCTAATCTCACCCCATCCCCAAAAGTCTAGCGTAACTACCGACCATTTATCCGCGCATCACTTGAAAATTGACCTACACTACTCTGACCTACTGGTGCTAACCTAATCTGACTAACATGATCAGACTGTTCAAGAAACTTACGAACAATATGACATGTTCCTAACAAAACAGCTTTTTGAATTTTGATAATTATTGAATCATTCAAATGCAAAGACTTTAAATTCTCAACTAAGCTATTTGGAACTACACCTACATTAGAGATAACTAGAGGTACAATTGAAATTTTTTTAAGATTCAACATGGATTTCATTTCTATCGATAACTGTAGATATTTTGAAATCTTGGTGTGGTATGTTTGAATAATGTTGTTTGTGTTGGGAACAGCAATGTCAATGAGAATGGCTTCGTTCGTGTGTTTCTTGATAAGTATGATGTCTGGTCTGTTAGCTGTAATGTTTAAGTCTGTAAGTATTGTGCGATCCCAGTATAATTTGTATTTGTTATTTTCAAGGAACGGAGATGGAATGTAAGTGTAATACGGTGTCGTATCTTCGATTAAGTTCATAAGTGTTGCTAATTCTTTGTGGATGATTTTGGCGACGTTGTCGTGTCTAGCTTTGTAGTCAGTTTGTGCTAGGATGCTGCAAGAAGAGATTATGTGCTGGATCGTTTCAGGTTTTGCTTTGCAGAGGCGACAGCAGTCGTTTTTTATGTTCGGATCTTTGATGATGTATTTTTTGTAATTCTTGGTATTGATTACTTGGTCTTGAATAGCAAACACAAATCCTTCTGTTTCGGCATACAAACCTGATTTTTTTAACCAAATCAATGACATCTTCTTATTGATATGAGTTTCTTCTAAGTCTTTGTAGAATTTTCCATGTAGTTGTTTTTGTTTTAGCCCACTTATTATTTTATCTATTGTGTGGGGGGTGTGGATTTCTTCGGTGTTCGACAGATTTAAGGGTGTGTGGTTCAAATCTGCTCTTGTGATGGTGCGAAACATTTCATTTCTTTCCGCTCGTTTCAAGAAATACTTCTTCAAATCTGAGATTTGTCTCTGACATAAGTTTTCTAGGTTCTGGAAACCCCTTCCTCCATTCTGTCTTGGTAATGAGAATCTTTCAATCGACGATTTTGGATGATGCCTTCTATACTGTGTGAAGATTTTCCTTGTTGCGATGTTTAAATTTTCAAGATCAGTTTTGGACCATTTAATGACTCCAAAAGAATATGTTAGTAGTGGAACGCAGAATGTATTTACTGCTTTCATTAAATTTTTTCCATTTAACTGTGTCTTCAATATTAATTTCAATCTCGCTAGGTATTGATCTTTCAACTGTGTTTTCGTTTTGGTATGATTGATGTGTGATGATTGACAGAAACCCAGATATTTGTATGTATCGTTTCGTTCTTGTGCTTCGATTATTTCGTTATTCTGGGTTATATGTGGTACTTGGTGTTGGACGCCTTTTCTGATTGCTTGGGTCTTACATTTCTCAATACCAAAAGACATACCAATATCACCGGAAAATTGTTCAGTCAGATTTAATAGGTTTGTTAACTGATTTTGTGTACTTGCATATATTTTTATGTCATCCATATACAGCAAGTGACTTATTCTGTTTTCTCTTTGTTTGTTAATTCTTATATTGAACCCATAATTGCAACTGTTCAGGATATCGGAGAGGGGATTTATTGCTAAGCAGAACCATAACGGACTAAGAGAATCGCCTTGAAAAATTCCTCTTCGGATCATTATTGGATCTGACTGAATTGTTTGTTCATTTAAGGTTATTTGAAGGGTGGTCTTCCAAAATTCCATGGAACATTTTAGAAAAGTGCAGATTTTAGTATCAATTTTGTATAATTCCAGAATTTTGCATAGCCAGGAATGAGGGACAGAATCGTAAGCTTTCTTATAATCAATAAAAGCAGTATATATGTTTCGGTTTTCTTTTCTAGCTTGTTCACAGATGATGGAATCTATGATTAATTGCTCTTTGCAACCAAAGGATCCTTTAATACATCCTTTCTGTTCTTCATTAATGATGTTAGAGTTAAAACAGTGTTGATAGATTTTTTGAGTAATGCATGAGGTTAATATTTTATAGATTGTTGGTAAACATGTGATAGGTCTGTATTTTGATGGATTTTTTGTGTCGTTATCTTTAGGTTTTAAGTATGTTACACCATGACATAAGAATGTTGGAAAGGAGGATGGGTCAAGAAGGAACTGATTTAAGTGATTTAGTAAATGAATATGTACACAATTAAATTTTTTTATCCAAAAATTATGGATTTTGTCTGGTCCTGGTGATTTCCAGTTGTGTGTCTTATTGATGGTATTTATTAATTCGGCAAGTGTTATCTGATGATCATTCATTGGTGTAACTGTGGATAGTTTATGGGATATATGAGGAATCCATTTGGCAGATTGGTTAAATTCAAATTCTTCAGACCAAAGTTTTGACCAAAATGTTGTTACATCCTGTGAACTTGGAAGTTCACCGGATAATTGAGTTTTGTTTGAATTAGTTAAATATTGATAGAATAGTTTTTCGTTGTTTAAAAATTTAGTGTTATGAATTTTTCTGAGATGTGATTGTTTGTATCTTTTAAGTCGTTTGCTATATAAGGAAAGTTTTTGTAATAGGGTATCTTTAATTTGGGATAATGTTGTGTTGTACTCATTGTAATCAGTTTGATGAAAATTATTGTTGGTCAGTATCGAATGCATACATGTCATGATATGTGGTGTTTTAACTCCTCTAAGGTACTGTGTTATTTGACCTAGTTGTTTTCTAATGTTATTAATTTTATAATTTAACCGTGTTTCCCAATGAGGGGTCGAAGGTATACGATTGGTGTTTGTATTTATTATGTTATCTTTACATGTGTTAATTTGAATACAAGTTAAAGCTGCACAGTAGATAATTGTATGAAGTTTTTCAAAAGAGATCGAGTTTGTGAGATATTTTGGTAAAATGAAGGAGTTCATTATTTCTACAATTGCTTATTATTATTATTATTGTTAATATTAATATTATTATAAATTGGCAACCGACCATAGCAATCTGAGGAATCTACTTTCGTACATTTTATCAAATAGGACGAGATTTTATGTCCATTAAAACGATTTTTACACGCGTAATCCATGGGCATTGTATCATTTTTATCTGGAATATTTACTTTCGCACCATTCGCTACCAGCAACATTACTTCATCTAAATCTCGACAGCCGACCATCGTGATCTCGGGATTATACTTTCCCACCTTTTTTTATCAAAAACGACGTAATGCTATGTCCATTAAACCGATTTTTAGATGCGTAATGCATGGGCAGTCGACCATTTCTATCTGGAATATTTACTTCCGCACCATTCGCTACCAGCAACATTACTTCATCTAAATCTCCAAATCTACAAGCATAATGAATCGGCAGCCGACCATCGTGATCTCGGGAATCTACTTTCGCACCTTTTCTTATCAAGAAAGACGTGATTTTTTCTCCATTAAAACGATTTCGACACGCGTAATGCATAGGCATTCGACGATTTCTATCTGGAATATCCATTTTCGCACCATTCGCTACCAGCAACATTACCTCATCTAAATCTCCAAATTCACAAGAATAATGAATTGGCAGTCGACCATCGTTATCTGGGGAGTCTACTTTCGCACCTCTTCTTATCAAATATGACGTAATTCTATGTCCATTAGAACGATTTTTACACGCGTAATGCATGGTCAATCGACCATTTTTATCCGGAATACCCACTTTCGGACCATTTCCTACTAGCAACATGATTTCATCTAAATCTCCAAATTCACAGGCATAATGAATTGGCAGTCGACCATCGTCATCTGGGGAATCTACTTTCGCTCCTTGTTTTATCAAAAATGACGTAACTCTGTGTCCGTTAAAACCATTTTTACACGCACAATGCATTGGCAGTCGACCATCTCTATCCGAAACATCCAATCTCGCACCATTCGCTACCAGCAACATTACTTTATCTAAATCTCCAAATTCGCAAGCATAATGAATCGGCAGCCGACCATCATTATCTTGGGATTCTACATTCGAACTTTGTTTCAACAAAAATGACATAATTCTATGTCCATTCAAAAGATTTTTACACGCGTAATGCATGGGCATCCGACCATTTCCATCTGGGATATCCACTTTCTCATCATTCGCTATCAGCAACATGACTTCATCTAAATCGCCAAATTCACAAGCATAATGAATCGGCAGCTGACCGTCGTGATCTCGGGAATCAATTTTCAAACCTTGTTTTATCAAATAGGACGAAATTTTATGTCCACTAAAACGATTTTTAGACGCGTAATGCATGGACATTCGACCATTTCTATCTGGAATATACAGTGCCGTACCATTCGCTACCAGCAACATTACTTCATCTAAATCTCCATATTCACAAGCATAATGAATTGGCAGTCGACCATCGTTATCTGGAGAATCAACTTCCGCACCTTCTTTTATCAAAAAGGGCGTAACTTTGTGTCCATTAAAACGATTTTTAGACGCGTAATGCATAGGCAGTCGACCATTTCTATCCGGAACATCCACTTTCGCACCATTCGCTACCAGCAACATTACTTCTTCTAAATCGCCAAATTCACAAGCATGATGAATCGGCAGCCGACCGTCGCGATCTCGGAAATCAATTTTCGAACCTTGTTTTATCAAATAGGACAAAATTTTATGTCCACTAAAACGATTTTTAGACGCGTAATGCATGGGCATTCGACCATTTCTGTCTGGAATCTCTATTTTTGCACTACTCGCTACCAGCAACATTACTTCATCTAAATCTCCAAATTCACAAGCATAATGAATTGGCAGTCGACCACCGTTATCTCGGAAATTTACTTTCGCTCTTTTTTTTATCAAAAATGACGTAATTCTGTGTCCGTTAAAACCATTTTTACACGCATAATGCATTGGCAGTCGACCATCTCTATCCGAAACATCCAATCTCGCACCATTCGCTACCAGCAACATTACTTTATCTAAATCTCCAAATTCACAAGCATAATGAATCGGCAGCCGACCATCATTATCTTGGGATTCTACATTCGAACTTTGTTTCAACAAAAATGACATAATTCTATGTCCATTCAAAAGATTTTTACACGCGTAATGCATGGGCATCCGACCATTTCTATCCGGAATACCCACCTTCGCACCATTCGCTACCAGCAACATGACATCATCTAAATCTCCAAATTCAGAAGCATAATGAATCGGCAGCCGACTGTTGTGATCCCGGGAATCTATTTTCGAACCTTGTTTTATCAAATAGGGCAACATTTTATGTCCACTAAAACGATTTTTAAACGCGTAATGCATGGGCATTCGACCATTTCTGTCTGGAATATCTACTTTTGCACTACTCGCTACCAGCAACATTACTTCATCTAAATCTCCAAATTCACAAGCATAATGAATCGGCAGTCGACCATCGTCATCTGGAGAATCAACTTTCGCACCTTCTTCTATCAAAAAGGACGTAACTCTGTGTCCATTAAAACGATTTTTAGACGCGTAATGCATAGGCACTCGACCATTTCTATCCGGAACATCCACTTTCGCACCATTCGCTACCAGCAACATTACTTCATCTAAATCTCCAAATTCACACGCATAATGAATGGGCAGTCGACCATCGTCATCTGGAGAATCAACTTTCGCACCTTCTTTTATCAAAAAGGACGTTACTTTGTGCCCATTAAAACGATTTTTAGATGCGTAATGCATAGGCAGGCGACCATTTCTATCCGGAACATCCACTTTCGCACCATTCGCTACCAGCAACATTACTTCTTCTAAATCTCCAAATTCGCAAGCATAATGAATCGGCAACTGACAATCGTAATTTGGGGAATCTACTTTCGCACCTTTGTTTATCAAAAATGTTATAATTCTATATTCAAAATATCGATTCTGACACGCGTAATATATGGGCAGCTTACCATCTCCATCCGGATCATTCACTTTTGCACCATTCGCTACCAGTGACTTTACTGCACCTAAGCATCCATATTCACAAGCGTAGTGAATCGGTAATCGACCATGCCCATCTGGCGAATCTAAATTCGCACCATTTTCTTTAAAAAACGATACAACGGAGTCCACATTCAGGATTCTGTCAAACGCGTAATGTATGGGTAGCTTTTTGTCATTCCCATCAGGAACATCCACCTTTGCTCCATTTTCTACCAATGATTTCATTGCATCTAAATTTCCATATTCAGAAGCGTAATGAATTGGCAGGCGACCATTGCTGTCTGCAGAATCTACTTTCACGCCTTTTTCAATCAAAAATGGTATAATTCTGTATCCATTTAACCAATTTTTACAAGCGTAATGAATGAGCAGAAGACCATTTTCATCGGAAACGTTCAATTTTGCACCATTTCTCACCAATAATTCTACTGACTCTAAATCACCATGTTCACAAGCATACTGAATCGGTAGTCGACCACTTCTATCCCGAACATCCACATTCGGATTTTTAACCAATAATAAACTCAGCGTTTTAATTAGGCGATTCTCAGATGAATAATGGATCAGCAACTGACCTTTCGAATTTGGAACTTCTATTTGAAACTCTTCCAACTCTAACACACAAGTAAATATTTCGTCAATTTCCATCACCGAATCCCCTAAATTTTCTACAAAATCCCATTCGCAACAGTCTTCCTTTTTGGAAAACTGTTTTCTTAATATTTGCCTTGATCGATTATAAAGAGCTAATCCTAGAACACTCCTTGGATTAATGCTATTGTACATGGTCTTTAAAGACAAAGAATTTTCAATGCACTCAAAAATCATTGAAACATCATACTTAATTGCATAATATAAAACTACTGCCAAGTAGTCATCATCAAATCGAGTCCCATCATATAATGGAACCAAAAATGGTAAAAAAAGCAGCAACTTATGAAAACACGAATTGAAGTAATTAAATTCTCGCCCCACATCACGATAATTTAAATATCTTACGATTTCCGTATTACCTACCCAATCTTTGTTAAAATCGGATTTTGTTAGAACAGTGTCATTTTTCGCAACTGGATAATTTTTGCTGTATGCACAAGCCACTTCTAAAATGTCGCGACCGATGACGTCTTTTTGCTTTAAATCTTCATCTGTGAGTTCCTCTAGAATTGAAGGATTTTTATATAAAATAGCTACGAAACCTTTACAGTTTTTCGCCAACATTAAATCTAAAAAAAATCGAATATTGTTGGAACGACGGTTCGAAATAAATATTTTGTCCCGTGCTTTTGATGGTTCATAATTAAACAGATATAAAGCTGCAAAATATTCCCCGTACGAATTATGAGCGAATTCAACATCGTTGTTAGAATGAACGCGGCTTATGATTCCTACTTCATCACCTTCATTTTTAATTTCGATCAAAAAGCTTTTAACTTTTCGGTCAAAATTGCATTTTACAGGTTTTTCTGCAAGTGAATCAGAGTTGTAAGAATTGGCAGCTAAATGTTGGTAACAATTCATTGTATTTTCAATATCTTTGTAAATGGATTCATTCATTAAAGGAATTTTGTTTTTGTCTGCATATAAAACATTAAATTTTTCTTTCACAAAATGTTCGTACAGTTTAAGAACAGTAAAATTACCGTCTAATAAATTCAGATAGTGGTTTAAGTCTTTTGAAAATAATTCCGTCAACATGTAAATTTGTAGAGGAATGCCTAAAATTTCGTAATTTGGAAAAGCCATTATATTTTCTCTTATTTTACTAAAGGTCTCCGACAACTTATCTTCGGGAATTTGTAGACGATCTCGAATGTAAGCTCGTTGTTCTTCTTCGTTCAACTGCTTTATATTTCGTGACAAACTACCTAAGCCCTCTTCTAACATATTTTTCAAGTTATTTCGAGAAGTTAACCATTGCTTCACCCCTCGTTCCGAAAAAGCTTTTACTAAATCTACAATGGAAGCTTGAGTGTCGTCAGACGCTTCATCGAGACCATCCCACGCTAGCTCTATTTGATTTTGTTCCAGCATTGTTTTGAAAATTGCTTGGTGGAATTTCTTTGAATACTTTTTACAAGTAACGACGTCCAGAATGTATTTTAAAAACTTGTCCATATCGGATTTATTTTTTCTAAAGTGTTCAGGGTGATTTCTTGCGTATATTAAAATAGTCCACTTCGACGAAGGACTATTGCTTTTCAAACTCTTCAATAATGTGCTCTTTCCCATACCAGGATCGGCGCAGATAATATTAATATTTTGCCACGATTCTTTAAAGTATTGACGTTGGTCGATAAATTCACCTTTTATACGTAATCTATCAAGTTTTTCAAACCATCCACGTTTCGAGCTACAATTCTCACTTCTTATCCATTCCAAACGATGATCGTCCAAATATTTAAAGTAATGAATTTGTGTTCTTACATTCTGTTTGCACAAAGCATCAAATTTCTCTTTTGAGATTTCGTTTTCATAAATATAAATCGTCGGACTTTGAACTGTACTTTGAATCGTGTCTACATCATTAATTTTGATTGATACACCTGGGAAGTTTTGCTGAAAAGAGTTTACATCTGTCACACAGTCGATTAAAGCAACTGTATTGTAATCCATATTTCTCAAAAATTTGACATCTGTTAAAATTTTCGTTAACTTTCTTTCGATATGACTTGGTGGTAGAGCTTCTGAGTTTCCAATTAACAATGGAGCTTTCAACATTTCAATTAAATCATCTGTGGTGATGAAATTGTCAATATCGCACACTTCTTGTAAGAATTTCAGCTCAATTTCTCTTTGACCTTCCAATGAATAGGTAAAATTCATTAAGATGTCGTCATACAACTTTGTGTGCTCTTTTAAATCAAATAACTTTCGAAACAGGAAAGTTTTTTGTTGACTGTTTGTGATTCCTTCAACGCCTTTACTAAACGTTTCTTGATTATCAAGTACGATAAGATTTCGAATTTGGCATGTTTTTATTGCTTTATAAACTTGTGGACATCCTTCGACGACTAACGGACTTTTTTCCCGCAACCACATGAGTTTCGAAACTTTGGATGCATCCTCAGCGTAAAGACTTTCCTTACTTGTTATCCAGTTTTCCATAATTTGGTACATTTTGTTAATTTTATTCGTTTTTTCCATATCATCTACACCGTCAATAGCATCCGACCAAACTGATTCGATTCTTTCAAAATTGTTTTTCTCAATAACAACCAAATCACACTTAGAAACAGCTTCTCGGAAAATGTTTTCTTTGTCGTCGACTGATTTACCAGCAACAAAGGACAACGATTTGGTAAAAGGCGAACACACGCAAAGGGCAATTACGCGTTTCATCCGTGTTTTATCTAATTTCAATTTTTTTCCTTCCTTGATACTCCAGTGGGTTATGAAATTTAGGTACTCAAGAAACACAGTCTCATTACTACAGAAGTGTGCTTCTAGTGTCTCCAATATTTCTTTTTTAAGTTGTTTGACATCTGGTTGATCAGTACAGAGACATAAATTTTTGAAAAAAAAATCATACTTCGCTAAATTTTCACGACTTGCTTGGAATGAATAACACTTCCCTTCCGATTTTAAAATACCTGTCAAACTCGTTTGATCGCATTGCGCCAATTTACCATATTTGAACTGACTTAAGTGGTCATCGTTCATCTTACAATTGGTAAATAGAACCATCTTGACAGACTGTTCCTTTAACTTTTCCTGATATTTGAAATTTTCGTAATACTTGTCGATGCTAAAGTCACCACTCTTTGAGTTTAATTTTTCAATCATTGATGTCTTTCTGGTAACGTGTTTTAGCTGAATAGCGACCGTTTCCGTACGGTTTTTGTATACAATTTCGACTACAACGTCATCGAAAGACCCATATTCAACATCATTCGAAGACAAATGAAAATTTTCGACTTTATCATCAGTTATTAATTTTAGAACTAAGTTAGCTATGTAGAGGTGTTCGTAGTCTTTACCTTGATCAGTGGTACCTCGTCTCTTCTCAAACATCTGAAAAGAATGTTACGATCAACTGGAGCCGTCTTTTGATGGTGATTTTGATGAATACGCAATTTTAAATTCTCTCTGTAATTCCGTCTATAGATCAAAATTGCTTTGTACTTATTAGATAACTAAACTTTGTTTATTTGTCAAAAATTTGAGAGGTCACCCCAAAATTCTTTGAAGTTAATCTGAGATGAACGTTGTTGGCGAAACGCGTCAACAAATATTTTGTGTTTTCGGCGTTGTGGGAATAAACGTTCTTTAAAATACAAAACGTTCGAAAAACTATAAAAGTTAATTTTGCGAATTTTATTTTTACTTACCGAGCGTAAGCAAAGAAAGTATTGTAATCGAGTCTATTGGAGGTCGACATTTTATGACCTAGAATATGAAAAATTAGGTCTCCTAATTCAATCTGCCTACCGTTTGTTCACATTTTTATTGAACAGATAATCTTCAAAATTACTGGACCGATTATTTTTATATACTTACAATGTTAGGAATATCGTGTAGATGGTGAAACGCTAACCAAAATTTGCACAATCTCCCTATCAATGTAATGAGGATTAGCCAAATTTTGGTTCGCATTTTACCATCTACATACAAAGTTTGACAACGATTAGTCGCTCCAGTACTTTCGAAGATTACCTTCTTAATAAAAATCTGTCCAGGCGGCAGACAGACGGAAACCGGAGACCATTTTGCTCAAGCTCTAGAGGCCATGATACGTCTAGAAAACATGAAAGTGGCAAATTGCCCGATGGATCTTAATTTATGCTCAGGAAGAAAAATGCATTATATATTATATATAGTTGCCGCCAAAAAATTTCAGACGTCAATGTCATTCAGTCGTCAGATAGTGTAAAGCAACCTTTAGATGTTTATGTATTTTGCATGGCCGACTAGTATAAAGATTATGGCCTGTCCAAGAGGTACCATATGTGTTGCCATCTATTAATAATTACACTTAATAATTTAGCAAAATTTTAATTTGATTTGACATTATGAGACTTCAAAACGTGAAATGGTCGTTTGTTTCGGTATGAATGCCTTTGTGCCTATCAAGAAGTGTTAATAATTCTTTTATCGTTTTTGAATTATTAGTAGATGGCAGCACGTATGGTACCTTTGGACAGGCCATAGTCTTTATACTAGTCGGCCATGGTATTTTGAAAGTTTGACATTCCAGCTGTCTGAAATAATGACAATAAAGCATAGACTACATTAAAATTTTTGACATGACAGAAAAGTGATGTTTGAAATTTTTTGTCGGAAACTGTATATACGTATACATTTATGAATTTTATGGTTAGTTTATCAATATCAGTAAATTCTGAAATATAAGTCGTTTAAATCTTATATAGTAGGCATGGCACAAGAGCAATGACGTCATGGTAATATTAAAAGCGAATTAAAAGCTATATTACTAGTTAAAATACATTTAAATGTCATAAACTCATAATAATCAGCCGAGTATTTCATTAGCAATATTGCAAATAATAATTTGTTGCCGAGTATGCATATGCATGCATATGATTCATAAAAACTTACGGTCGCCATGTCGAATTCCGATAGAAACTACCTTATTGTTGCAGGATTAACGGTTCAATTAACTTCAGTATTCCTGAGTTGTTTGGATAAAGACTTTTCCGACGATCTAACATTTAAGTTACTACAACTAAGTACATGATTTCTCTTTAAAATTGTGCGTTAATGTACCATTTTAGTAAACAAATTGTTATTACTTTTTACTACACTCAAATGTCATTTTAGTTGATAATCCCATTGTTGTACATCGAATTAATTTATATGTAAATGTAATCAATTTGCGTATTAAGCAGAAAACTATTTTAAATATTTTAGTTTTTGCAGTGGAACACACGAATTTGATATTTTCCGATTTATGAACTTCAAATCTCAGCACAAAGATAAATAAATTTCGCAATAAATTTTTATCGATTTTCGATGTTAAATATCGATATGTCAATCAACAATCGTACGAATCTCTACTATACCGACACAAACAAAACAAAAACATAACCTAACAGTCGATATGACAACAACAAATAGCCGAAAAGTGTTCAATGTTTTTTAGTGGTCATTAAAATTAAATGGACATTAGATAGTGATAATGAAATCTCCCCAACATTTACACCACAAAAAACCGAAGAACACGTTGGAAAAAACGTATGAAGAATTCATGTTGTAGTGCAGAGGAGAAAGTTGAACATTATTCAGAAAACGTCGTATTGACAATATTTTTCAGATATCTCAAACATAGAAAAATTTATATTGGAAGCCCCAGATGCAGATTGTTTGTTGATTAAGGTACCATCTTTTGTTCAATAATATGTTGGAATATTTTTAAAAATTAATAAATTTTTAAGGTGGCGTTAATTGTTGTCACAAGGATTAATGATTACATTTGCCAGTAGAAGACATTCAAGACTTCAACATCAAATTACTCATCACAATAAATAATACAAAAACTAACAATCTGTTCACTGTTGTAGGTAATGAGGGTATTCCAAATTACCTACAGTTATAGAGGAAGTATTTTGGGCTTGGTCCTAGACACATCTCACATAATAAGTTTTTCATTTATTATTGTAAAAATAAATTTTCAACTCGGCCATATTATCGTAAATATTGTTAAATCTAATAATGACAAATAACAATTTGAAAAATTATTACAGAGTTTCATTTATTTAATCAAGTCCATATAAAAATTTGAACTTTGAATGTTTCGACGATCGTCGGAAAAATTGTGTAACAAACATGTTGGTTAATGACAATTAACGAACTCGTTGGTGAAACATTTCAAAAATGTCGCAACCAGTGGCATCCGTTATCTTCAAATTTGCGTATTTTAGTCATAGAACTGCAAAATTCTTCTATAATTATAAAAATAAATTTGAGAGTAAATTAGTTCATGTTATCACCAAGAGTACTTTTTTTTTTTTAAATTGACGATAGAGTAGTTGTGTATCACGAAATGTTGTGGATATATAATATCCACAACATTTCGTGATAAACAACTACTCAAAATTTCTTTGTTTCCATAAGAAACAAAGAAATTTTGGAAAACTGTTGAACTTTTGATAGGAATCACAAGTGCAATCCTTTAGAAAAAATGTGTCCAAATTTTCTGTTAACAAACTCTTTAATGGGGCACAATTCTTGTTCTTTATTGATATATATCATAATCGACTCTCTTGCATGAAATGTCCAACGACTTTTCAAGGTCATCCAGACCTGTTTAAGTAGTAAGCTAAAACTTTTAATTTTAATACATACATCTCTATGAAAATAAGTGTGAATGCAGTACCTAACTGTAAATGGAAACTTGTTTTTTTTGTCGAGTCCTTCAAACAATAATAATAATAAATAATTATTATTATTATCATTCCGAATTTTACTGATGAGTATTACTGGTTGCCTAAAAGTTGGAAACAGTTTAAACAATGGAAGCCTTTTTTTTATTATATAATTATACTAAAACTGGAAATACCCTAAATCCACACCATTTTTTCATTTTTCCCAACTGCCCAACGCGTCTGGTTCTACAAATCCCCACTCATCGCCAAAGAGGACGTGAGAATTTATAGCTTGAATTAAAATTTTTGTAGACATTGTAAAAAACTTATTTTGGCAGCCTGGAAAAAATGTATGTAAAATTTTGCGTATGAAGACATTCCTCGTTTCATAAATTTTTCTACTGAAATAAGCGAAATGGAGTAAAATACTACAACGTAATTTGCCAGAAGATGATTTGTTTTTAATTTCTGAAATTGTTTAACTGAAAGGAACAAGTATTATCATTCTTTCATTTTATTTTATGTTGTATTATTTTATATTCTTAGTTCTAGATCTCACTGCATACTTCACAAATTTTTGAGTAAAGCATTGCAAATTTATTTAGAAAAAATTAATACGTTAATTGCTAACAAATTCACCCTGTGGAGGAAAACTGTCAAGATTTTCAAAGCATCCACCTTCCGAGTCACAATTCTTACTTCTGATCCACTCCAGACGACGATCGTCCAAATATTTAAAACGATGAATTTGCGTTTTTAAATTCTGTTTGCATAAATCATCAAATTTCTCTTTTGAGATATTGTTTTCATAAATATAAATCGTCGGACTTTCAAGTGTACTTTGAATGGTGTCTACATCATTAGCTTTTGTCTCACAGTCGATTAAAGCATATTAAAATTTTCGTTAACATTCTTTCGATATGACTCCTAGTTTTCCAACTAACAATGGGGCCTTCAACTTCTGAACCAAACGATCTGTAGTAATCAAATTGTCAATATCGCACCCCTTGACTTTCCAACTTTGTGTGCTCTGTTAAATAAAATAAATTTTTAAACAGGAAAGTTTTCTCTTGACTGTTTGTCGATACGATAAGATTTCGAATTTGGCAACATTTTTATTGCTTGATAAACTTGTGGACATCCTTCAACGATTAACGGACTTTTCCCCAACAACCACATACCACATGAGTTTCGATACTTTGGATGCATCCTCAGAGTAAAGATTTTCCTTAAGTGTTATCCAGGTTTCTATAATTTGGGACATGTTATTAATTTTATTCGTTTTAGATATGTAGATTAAACTTACTTTGTACTTATTAGATAATGAATCTTAACTAAAATTTTTTTAACTGTCTTCTACTATCTACAAAAATTGATGAGGTCACTTCAAAATTCTTTGAAATGCAATGTACCTATGACACATCTAAAAATGCCATTAGGTTTTTAAGTTTAAATTCAGTTTTGCGATTTGAGTTTTTGGAGTTTTCAATTTTTAATTTTTCAGATTTTCCATTTGTAATTTTTTGTTTCCATTTTTTATTTTCTTTATTTTTTCAATTTTTGGTTTTTCAATGTTCGAAGTTTTTTTTCAAAGAGAAATTTTTCAATTTTTCAATTTTAGGTTTTTCTATACATATTTCTTTTCTTCAAGTTTTTATTTGCAATTTTCTTGTTTTCATTTTAAATATGTAATAATAATTATAATTAATAAAATCAGTTTTTCAATTTTACTGTTTTAGAATTTCTTTCATTTACTCGATTTTTAAATTTTTCGATTCTTAAATTTTCGATTTCTCGATATTTAGTTTTTTCATTTTTCCATGTTTGACGATCCTATAATTGATTGGACCATTTTTGGATTTTGCTATTTTTATCTATCGTTTTTTCCTCTTTCCAATTTTTCAAGTCACAATATTTTCGATTTTTAAGTTTCTTAATTTTTAGTTTTTCAATGTTTCACTTTTTCGTTTTTTCAGTTCTTCGATTTCCAATTTTTCGATTTCCCATTTTTTCGATTGTGCTTTTTTTCCTTCTTTCAATTTTTTGAGTTTTTAGTTTTTCGTTTTTTAATTTTTCGAATTTCCAGCTTTTCGGTTTTTCAATTTTGTACTCAAAAAAATGGAAAATTAAACATGAGAAAATGAAAAAATATAAAATAAATCTTTGAAAAATTCAAAAATTGCAAATCGAAAAATTGAAAAATTTAGAAGTCTAGAAACTTAAAAATTTTAAAAATTAAGGTTGAAAAGACGAAAAATTGTGATATCAAAAAATCGTAAAATCAAAGAAAGAAGAAAAACGAAAAATTGTGATATGAAAAAATTCGTCTAAGGTATAAAACGAACTAAGAGCAAACCCATAAAAGCTGTATTACGAGTATTTTAGCTAATTCTCTAACTAATAACATTTCTAACAGTCAGACAGACGAAACATTCAGAAACCATGGATTAGGAAATTCGTCGAATGGACCCATCAAAACTTTTTTGTAGTCTACTTAGCAAATATAACAAAACATAAGTAAACTAAATATATTGTGTTACTTGAAAATGTGCACAATGTGTGCGCTGTTCTAATCGTTTAAGCATACTAGACGAGGACACTCAGTTAAGGATAGTGTTATCAGCAATACCTAAGCATACATTTGTTCTCGTTATTTGAATTTATCCCACCGTTCGTAAACTAACGTTTATTTTTACTTATCGAGAAAAAAAAATTGTTTTCGCAGTCTGTAAATATTATTGCAAATAATATTGACAAATACATGTATATGATTAATAATAACTTCCGGTTGCCATGTCGAATTTCGATATAAAAATAAAAGTAAATAATTGTCGTAGGGTTGCCCCTTCAAGTATTTCATTCTTATTAACTTCACTATTCGTAAGTTGTTTGAATAAACACTTAAACAGCAGTCGATATTTCCAAATAAAACTAATCTTACCTATTATGTCTCACAAAATATAACGGATGATCAAAAAATTTTCATATTAGAGTTAGCCATGGAAATATTTGTCATGTCTTTGATCAAACTGCAAATGTCATGTATAACCTCATTTGTAATTTAAAAATTCCATTTTTTGACAAATCCGTTTTGAATTAAGTAGATTTGAAGTTGAATCGAAGTTTGTGCAATTGCTAGTCGTGCCTTTGAAGATAATTTTCAACAACAAGAGGACTTTTTTCCAATCCACATATCTTAGTTCTAGAAATCCAGAATTCTTATATAATTAAATTTTTCCTCAACAAAATGTTCATACAGATGGAGAACTATAAATACCTATACCACCTAACAAATGTAGATACTTTTTTGTGGTTTAAAAATGATTCTATCAACATGTAAATTTGTAGAGGAATGATCAAAATTTCTTAACCTGGAAAAACCATTACGTTTTCTCTTAGTTATTTTAATAAAAGTTCCAAGCTTCGCCACCTCTCCAGGCAAGTTCGACTGACGTTCTTCGTCCGATTATTTACAGATTGCGTGGTGTTTTCATAGCTTACGGAAGCAGAACTTAGTTCTTGTTTCACTGCCAATCTTTGAAGTTGAACACTCTATACAACATTGTAAGATAAAATACACACTATTTTAAATACAACAAAATTTATTCTCAAAAGTATACTAACATCAATACGAAATACATATTTATCATCAAAATTCATTTTTTTTTTCACACTTTCATGGAATCCCAAAATTTCTACTTGTTCAGTTTTTCAAACTGGCGATTTCCGTTCACTCTCAGTTTATCCAGCCCATCGAACTGATCCTGGTATGGACAATTTTTTGTATTCATTGTGCCTAAAATCATGTGTGGAAATTTTACAACGACAAGAAAAAACAATTCTTCCAAAGAGAGCCCTTGGCCCTGTTAACCCTGTTTGGACGAAACTCACCTTGTAAACCTACATAAATTTGAGAATTAATTAGGTGATGATTTTTCAGTTGTCGCCAAGAGTCCAAATTTTTCTAAATTGACTATAGAACAGTCGTGTATTGAGAAATCTTCTGGATATTATTGAAACAAAGAAATGTTGACAAATTGTCAACAAAAAAAAAACTCTTTTTGCAGTACGCGTTGACGGAAGGTACCAATTTATGGGCCAATGTCATCTTCAGGATCAACCAGTACGCCTATACAATATCCACAGTGGTGTGAACAATACCCTTAAATCGAACACTGTTAATACTTTAATTACAGAACCTTCTTCTTCAAACGTACCGCAGGTGACACCCCATATAAATAAATCTCAGAACGTACCATCAGTAACAACATTTCCACCAAAATTAACGGTGGAGGAAAGTTGGGGACTCGCTAAAGATATAGAGATTTTAGTCCTGAAAGGAGAGAAAAGAGGATAATGGATATCCGTGGTTG